AATCGCACTTTGACTCGTTAAATCCTACGTATTCCAATTTTATCTTCTCTTCCTGGGTTGATTCACCTTTGGAGTGAGTTCATCTAGAACCACAAAACTCGCACTATCTCCAGTGCATTGCCGAGTAGGGTTCATGTGGATTTCCTCAGTGGAACGTAGTGGTGTTTTGCATTTCTATGTGCCAAATAAATCAAACAATGATGACCACAATAATTGGCTATATAAATCATGCTATAGTGCTCCATTGGTATTAACTCCCTGTTTATACTGGGAGAATTATTACGGGATTTTAAGGAAGTAATTTAATTACCAAGAAGTCTTAATGAAAAATGAACAGCACAAACATGTAGTTGTTTCTTATACAGGAACTTGTCATTATATACTTCTCAATTGTTAACAGATTTTTATGTGTTCAGATCCTTTTTTTGGAACCTAATAGTAATTCCCCCTTAAATATATTATTTTGTGACTTTATTAAGTGTTTTTCTTAGTTTTCCTCTAGATTTTGATGTAGGGTTAATTAAAAAATCTACTCGATTCTCAACATTAGAACAAATGTATGTCTAAACAATATAGAACAAAAATAGTACTGGCCATGGAAAATTAAATATATAACAAACTGATGATTTATTGTATACTATTCAATGTCTCAAGAGTTGCAAGTGAGGACCTCAATTTGGAGCCTTAATTTATGAGTTTCAACGCCAGTCACCATTACATGTCACTCTCTGCGTGTATGGACTAAACGTGACCCTTACAGATCATCATCACTACGGAAAACAAAAAAAAAAGAAAAAAGAAAAAGGGAGCACCTTTCAGGAAGTGTATGTAAGTATGCTTGCTAGAGAATAGAGAGGTCTTCATCGACGAGTGTTTGTGTGTGTGCATATATATATATATATATATATATATATATATATTCTAGGGTTTATTTGAGCTCTAGCCGTAAGTGTTGTCTGCAGAATGTATGTCAGATCAATGAATCTAGCTCTTAAATAGATCTGGTGAATGTTCTAATAATCTGTATGTACTTTGTGCTTTAGAAAATAATGTTTCCATTTCAGTTTTGGTCCCCTTTCTAAAGTCTCTTACAGGGAAGATCCTAGTGGATTAATATTGGATATTGTAAGTACAGTTAAGCACAGGAATTAATGTTCCCCCCCTAGGGTTTGAACTTTGAAATCTTCCGGCAGCACGTAGTTTTCTTGGTTCTTCATGTGTCCTGTGATCAGTAGACAAGGCTCACTAGTCATAGCTGATCACAAGATTATAATCCCCACGATCATAGTTCTATTATTTATTTAATTTCCTTGAAGCTACGTACCTTATTTCCTCATGAGACATATATATACATGATATAAATATATTGACGTGTTCGAATTTAATTTATCTGTCACACCACATTTTAAAATCCCATATCCCATGTGCTTGGTCCAGTCCACAAAAATATGTTCAGAGATGAAGAGAGAGATAAAAGATCAATGTATATATGTTTGTGTGTATATTTACATTATATGGGGCCTGATTATGTTATAGCATCAAGATACATGACCGTACCACAATTGTTTCTGCTCCAACTAGTTCGATCTGAGTATATAATTCGATCTGAAAGCATACATACATACATGCATACACATAATGGCCAATAGTTTTTTTTTTTTTGGATCATTAACTGGACTTTTTTTTATGAGGAACTATCGATATAAATGTTTAGGCCATTGAGACTTAGGGACTACCATAAATAAGACTAGAGCATAAAGGAAAGCTCTATTAAGCTGCTATAAGACCAGCAATATAGGTAATGAATGTTAGGCTCTAAAGAGACAATAAGAGCAAAAAATTAGGGTAATAGAAATAAATGCGTTGAGATAGATATGTGATCATGCAAAAAAACATAATATTTAAAATGATAATACCAAAGGAAGAGTAAGTGTGGAGGTTGTTGAAGAGAAAACAGTAAGAAGTAGTTTAAAGTGGTTTGAACATGTACAAAAAGAGCCGTTGGAAGTATTGCTGAGAAGGATATATAGACTAGACAATATGGAGTCTTTTTAAAGGGGTAAGGAAAAATCAAAGAGAACGTTCAATGAATTTTTTGGTTAACAACTTGTTTAAAAATTTGGTTGTTAACAGAGTATAGTGATATCGTGTGATCTATATAGATAACTTCATCTAATGAGATAAGGCTTATTGGAAAGTCACATACTAAATATTCATTGTTGGATTTATGTTGGGTGTGTATTGGAAAGGCACATCAATATTCATGAATGAAGCATCAAGACAAGTGAGAATAATTGTGAGATCCGGCATTGATAATTATTGACTGAATGGAGCCAAAGTCACAAGTCTTAGTACTTTTATTTCAAGTGCAGACAGATATGTATGGCTTATATATATAGTAATAGAGCTGAAGAATCAGTATGGAGCTTTTCGTTCATACAGAAGAGGTTCATGATGAACTAGCTTGCCAGCGCAATCTCAAACTTAGCTTCTGCAATTATTAATCTGAGCCACTGTTATTTAATTAAAACAATGTCCAATGTCGTGTGGACAGATGGTGAGCTATTAGCCACGGACACCTTATAAGACGGGAGATTAATGTAAAAGTGGTGTTTAATCATGTTCATTAATTTGGTCTAGTCAAGGTGGATTATCTTGCCCAATCTGCAATACCAATTTTAGAAATTGGGTGCAACACTGCATGATTTTCAAGTTTGATTCAGTACTTGTTAATTACAAGGTTCAGGACTAGCTAAATAGCTTTTCTTTTTTGGCATTATTGTTGAGGCTCTGTCAGGGCTAAGATTTATCTTAAACTGATATTAATGATTTTTTTTTTTATGTCAATTTGAAAGTTTATTTCCTGCAGAGTCGTCGTAATAAGATAAATCAAACTCCTGGTCCTTTTTCTCAAGCTAAATTGCTCTTCTTCTTTTTTGGCGCCAAAAGCTAAATTGCTCTTCTGAATCAATTAGCTACGTAATTAGCATTCCTGTAACCAGGACTATAATTTGTGTTTCTAAATAATATGGGTATAAGAGAGAGATATGGGCACTGTGGTGGATCTATTATTTTATTTAGATAGTTTATATTTTATGTATTTTATATTTTTTTAAATTCTTGAAAATTATTCTTATTCTGATTCCCTTTTTAAATTAAAAAATTGAAATTAAATAGAAAAATAAATAAGATCTAAATAGTCTAAATAAAATTCATAAATGATGTACATATTTAATTTGAAAATACGCACCAAATTTTCACCAAATTTTATTCAGACATATTACATAATAATTCTTTTTCGATGACAGACATATGTACATAATAATACTCAAATGTGTGTGTGTGTACACACTGACGAATTAAGAAAATTTTATCGCAAATGTAAAAATAAATGAATTCTAATCGAATAAAATGATGATTTAAAATTTCCATCTGGATTTTATCTTATTTTTCTGAAACAAAGACTTAATTCCTATTTTTTATAATATAATTTCCTATTTCGAAGAATCAAACTTTAAAAAAAAAAAAAGTTTAGACGCACACAATTCATTAAATGCATATCCAAAGTGCCCTACTTTTGAAAATAATTATACGAATTGTTTTGAAGCAATAAACTAAGAACATCCAAAATAAATACTATATATAAAACTGAATTCATTAGTACTGATGTACAAGTACAAAAGCATCCGCTACCCATCTCATATCTTGTGATTAATTAATTAGATGCTGAAATACTCAGCATTTACATATTATATGTCCAAGCAGAGATCTTAAGATTAAAAAGAAAAAAAACCAAACTCCATTGATCATCATTATTGTTGATAATTAATTAATTATTTTTGCATATATGTTGGAAGTGCTTCATGGTATTTTTTTATGCCACGAACCGACAAAGGATTGTATCTGTGCCATTAATGAAGGGGACAACCTCTTTGATTCCCCACTGATCTTGCAGATATATATGTCTCTCTATCTCACTCTATAATACCATCTTCTTCTTCTTCTTCACTCATTAGATATTACTCCCATTTGTGCCATCTCCTGTAATATTATTGCACCAATATATAAAACCCTTATAGATCTATATACATATCACCCCACTTGCTAGTCTCTTTCTTTTCATATCTTCCTCCGTAAAGCCAAGCATCGATCTTGATTTTCCCTCCGAGCTATGAGTTATCACCCCAATACTTCTCTTCACTTAAATCTCCCAGACGACAATAATGCTCCATTACTGAACCTAAATCTTCTTCTTGAGCCTTCTTCTTCTTCTCCTTCTTCCAACTCCAAGGAGCCCAGGATATTCTCGTGCAATTATTGTCAGAGAAAATTTTACAGCTCTCAAGCTCTAGGGGGTCACCAAAATGCTCACAAGCTTGAACGCACGCTAGCCAAGAAAAGCAGAGAGTTAATAGCTAGTTCTTCTTCTTCTTCCATTGAACCCTACAATAATGGCGGTTCAGGAGGATCAGACCAGCACCGCTCCAGCTTCAGCGCACCGAACCATCTCAGCCATCGGGCCGGGTCATCGGGGCTTGGCCTGCTCGTGAACCAAGATCAAGGTGGGAGAAGGACGACGGCGACGGATTTTAGCTATGGTTCCAAGGAAATTGTTCAGGAGGATATTGGCCAGCTTGATCTCTCTTTAAGGCTCTAGTGAAAAATGTGAGATACTACTCAGAAGAAGGTGAAGTTCATGATGATGATGATATGTAGGAAATCTACATCAATGATCAGTTGTTAACTTTATTACGGTCTGTACTTAGTACTTGGCTTGTTTGTTTCTATATTGTAAGCATATATGAGAGAATTTTATGCATTGTTGAAACATATATAAGAGATATATACTTTTGAAGATGGAGAGACATGTGATTGAATAAAAGCAAGCAACAAAACAAAAACATAAGGCCCCATAAAACAAAGGTTATTCTATTATGATTATATCAACATATGTGTGCTTTGGTTTAACAGTTCCGTTCCATCATGCATAGTTTTAAGGAAGATTCCAAGTCGCATTTCTCGTTAACACAAGAAGAAATAGTGAAGGCGCACAATTCAAAGCTTGAAGCATTGCCCATAATTGCATAGTTATGGAGTCATGTGGAAGTATTTCCCTTTCCGCTTGCAGATACAGCTTATCAACTATAGATCCAACCACACACACACAGATATAATATAAAATTAGACGAGAAATGATTGTTGTTTGTGTGTGTGTGTGTGTGTGTGACATGCTTACGTACATGTTCATACCCGATTGAATATTTAGCTCAAAACTTTACTTTCTCAGATCTCTCTACTGATTAATGCAGAACTAGAACTTGATTTGATTTATTGCATCTGCAAGTTGTGCCATGCACTGTTACTGTTCTTGTCTCGGCTCTTTATTAATAAGTTCTTCAAAGTTCATGTGTTTGCATGGTTGGAAAGCTGAACAGAAGCAGATATAATTAAGCTCTTTGAGAATTCATTAATTAATTTCTCTCTGATTCAGCAGAGGGCTATTTGTAGAGTTCCTCATGACATGCAACGAACTCTCTTGCTTTTCGAAGTGATAATACAAAAAGAAGTTGAAAAGGAAGAGGAAGACAAGTGTCGAATAAGCCTAAGGTAAAATTAGATCAGCTAATTTCATCCGGCCAATGACATAACGGCCTTGATGAATAAACTCAGCAGAGTCTGTTACTTTAGCCAAAAAGTTTTTTTTTTTGTTGAAACTATGAAACGTTAATAGATATTTAGTACTCTTCCGGTTTTTAATATATGACCTAATTATTAAGTTAATTTTGATCTTAAATATCAGACCTATTTCTCATATTTATCGATTTTTCCTAAATTACCTTACAGAGATTCCTTCAACCATAATCAAGTAGAAGAGAGAGAGAAAATATTAAGAAAAACAATTATGGTATTTTAGGAAAAATATGTCATATTTCTTATAATTAACTAACTAACCTAACTTCCTTAATCTAATCAAATTAGTTAAATAGATATTATATTAAGAACCGGAGGAGTAATTCACTTACAGAGTCCTTTCCCATTGGACAGTATTATGGAATATCAAGCTTATATAATCTGTACTATATGACCCTTTATATTGTACATCTGAATATTATATGTTTTAACATGTCACATGTATATAATAAGTTACGCTTTGTTGATATATATGATAATCCAAACCGTCCCTACATTGAAACGCTGATCATGATAATTATTTTGAATTATACTCCCAAAATTATAATAAGATACTAACATAAGTTGAGCTTAGCAAAAACGGTTAGTTCCTCACATGATAAACTAATATTCGAATTCCTACCAAAAGATGCCTACATACTTAGTGCTCAACAATGCCTTGAATAAGATTACCTTTCTAATTGAAAACATCTGTACTTATAAACAAAAGAATTATAATAAGATCACTATAGCTTCATTTTATTTCCTACCTGTTATCTGGTTTAATTCTTTGGGTGTATGGCAGAAATGTAAATCATCAAGAAGTAGTAATTAATAACTAGGTATCTAAATATGACACTGATGTCAATTTAAATAATCAACTTCGTGGTTGACTATTATAGTTTTGGTACACATCAAAGACGTAGAATTTGGTGCTTCAGGGAATGATATACATCGAAATGGTTTTCCCTTGTTGCGTCACACTGTAGTGACAGTAAATAATGACTATTATTGGTTTAGATTATTGATAATGACGACACCTCCAATATAATAGTTAGTGATATATATACATATATATATATATATTGCTCCCACTTCACTCAGTGATAGCGATTAGCCTCATTCGAAACCCACAAACTTTAATTTCTGAATTAATGATATACATAGCACATATATATCGATCGGGTAACTTTCTTTATTATTTCTTAGTTGGATTGTTCATTCTTCATTTTTTCTTCTGGTAATCAATTACTACAGGTTTTGGCCTCCATCAAACAATTGGCATAGGATATCCGTGTTTTCTGCAAATTGTTCTAGTGTAGAAGTTATAGTTGTTTTTTTTTTTTTTTTTGCCAACGTAGAAGTTGTAGTTCTTAATCCTTTGTCTTTTGTTTCTTTTTTAATTTTTTTCTTGCTGCTGTTCTTCTGTTAATTAAGTACATTACATTTTCTTATTAATATCATTTGACTTTTTATTAAAAAAAATAATTATGCAACATAGATGTTATCATGCATCGATCTAATGATCTTATCTTATTCAATATCGTACAGCATATACGTGTGTGTGTGTGTGTCGTGGAAATAGAATGAAAAATCATGAAATTAAATTTTCATTGATGGACATGGTTGGATGACTTGGATCCTTGTTTCATCCCTATCTTCTACTCTTTATTTTGTCGGAGATGTTTTCTTGGGTCAGACTTCTCTCTTGATCTTTTAACCTTGTCTTTTCCAAATGCATGTAAATAAGCAAGTTTTGTGCGTATTTAATTTGAAAGGGATAACACCATTTGATTAGGATATAATTTGAATCAATGCTTCTTTTGTAATATGAAAAAAAAAATCATATGATTACATAGATTGAAAATACAAAGTGGCTAGTTAGGCCAAAAGTAGTATTTCATGATTCTAAATTGTTTGAAAACTAATTTATATATATTTTTAATGGAAATGATATTTTTGATATATATTTTAACACATAAAATTTAATTATTAATTTTTTAAAAATTATATTTATTTTAAATATACATTATTTAATTACAAAATAATATATAGTGGTACTTTTGATATATATATATATATATATATATCTCTACACACACATATATGTTAAAAAGTTCTATTGTAATAGTGGTTGAATTAGATCATCGTCCACACTTTGATCCAACTCTATGAGTATGGTCACTTGAGCTTAGGAATAATAAAAATTTATGTTTGATGTCGAGTTTGAGTTCATGTGAACATAGTAAATGTTTTTGAGAGAGCTATTTTCAATCAGGTATGATAATACTTGAATCTGATCCAATCAAATAATCATATGGAAAAAAAAAAAATCTAACGAGATGGAAGCTGAGAAAATGGAATCAAAAGGAGGGAAGAAAATGGTGCAGCAGATGCTATAAATATGATCCCTTAATTAAGTCTGCTCGTTCACACAGTAAGAATGGTAATAAAGACATGTAAGTTTATGTGTGTGGATCAGTAGATCGAATGTTAAAAAAAGCCACTAAGACACATGCAACAGATTTAAACCAGACAAGGATGGTTACCAAGTACTATGAAAACCCTCATCGTGGGTACGAGATGGTCGGCCATAATCACAAGTTATAGGGATAGTGCCACATTAGGTGCCTCTTTAAGGTTGTAATCCTACCTAGCTAGAGTCCTCCATCACTACTCGATGTCTCTCTCTCTCTCTCTCTCAAATTTCTTCCTCTCTCTCATATCAGTTTCAGATTATAATAATTTCATCATCATCAATGAAATTATTATCTGCATAATTTCTTTGTGCTTCTGTGGTCCTTCCATTAATTCTTGATTATGAGACTATCTCCAATACCAGTCCTTTTTATGTGGGGCACTAATAATAATGAAGGCGGTAGAAAAATTCTAGACATATAGCCTACGCTCTTGAGTTTTCTTCTCTTACAGCTTTGGGTAAAAGCAAACAAGTCTTTAATTTCTTGTTCCAGTTATATATATAGATGGCAAGTGATCGATTATATACATACATACATACATACATATATCTTTTGTAAATATGTTTTTTTTTCTGCCACATTAACTTGAGTTTTCTTCTTTATTTTTGTAATCTGCAAAAGAATGATAATCTGTTGAGTGAAACAACAGTAAAATTGAAACAATTCAACACGTAAAGGCAACCACAAGGCCAAAGAGTCACGTCCCTAAATAATTTTGCTTTCCATGAAGATTATATTTAACGAAGCTGTATCTCACTAACATATGATGATGAGGACCGAGTGGTTTCCACTTTGGTCAGTTAGCAGCCTGTCATTATCATTTTTTTCGTGGCAACTGATTTCTGGTAGTTACATTGAACTTCGACTAATTTAGATCGAGTCAAGCCAAGCCAAGCCGATAAATAAAGTTCTTACAGCAACAATTTTCTCTATGCACATTAAACTCAAATTTGAGCCTTAAGTTACAAGAAACAAGAAGCATCGAAGAACCATTACTTGAATTTACGTACAGATCATTATTAACATCCGTCATTGTCACTTTGTTGGCAATAAGAACCGTGTTTCATGATGCAGAGTGTTGAAAAAAAAATCTAGGCTAGGCTATACGATTGGCTTTTTGATTCCTATATTGCTTTGAGCCTACCGATATTTGGGTAAATCTTCTGGTAGTGAGAATGAGTGCCGTTAATCTCACTTTTGTTCCATTATTATTATACTCTAGTTGAGCGTTCGGTTTTCTGTTATAGAGGATTCTAAATTTGAATCCCATTGAGATTGGGTGTATTTTAAGTTAAAGAAGGAGAATAGTACTAAGCTATTTCAGTCACTGAGGGCTTCAATTTTTTTTTTGCCCTAAGTTGTACATGTGGTCTTCTGCGTATACATTAAGTTTTAGCTTATTTAATTTTAAGTTTATAAAGTATATTTTTAGTTCTTTAATATTAACATTTTTGGTCTCATTTCACAGAAAATAATTATTAAGCAAGTTAAAAAGTAGCTCTATATA